CTGGCAGTTGGTTTTCAGGAATGGAAGATGTTATTATTTTGTCAAATTTTACTACATTCTTACATTTTTGTCTTTCAGCTGATCCAGTTAGATTTATAGCTTCAAAATCAGGTTCCCCAGACCTTCCCCCCTGGTTACGTTTTGAACAAAAAGATCCAACGGATAGAGCCTTTATTTATGGCACTCCTGGGCGTGAAGTATCCAGTCAGATTGTGTTGGAGGTAAGAAAAGAGTTGTAGTTAGTTATTCTCATGAGTAATGTCAAGAACATTAAGTTTTTAGAAAATGTTTATAAAATTTGCACACTGTAAATTGTATTATTTTATTATAATTTTTGAAATTACAGCTGCTGTAAGTGGACCATTAGGTAATTAATACAAATTTTCAATGTCAATTGAAAGTTTAAGAGGTGACTCAAACAAAATGTTAAATAGGGGGCTTACAACTATAACAATATTAATAGCCACTGATATATTATTGAACAGCTTATTATATAACTGAGAAAATTACTTCATTATGATTGGCTGAGTGCAGGTCAATTTATCGTTAATTCTTAATTTGCACTGCGAATTAACACGCACGTGTTCGCAATNCCTTACCTCTGTTTCACAATAAGTCTTTGTGCAGATCCTTTCATATGAAAATAAATTTTTCTTGCCTGTTCATTGTGTTGCAAATCAAACTCATTTCTACATGAAAGAGTTATGCACCTGGACTCGTGTTCAAACAGACTGGAGGTAAAAAGCAACTAGGAAATGGCTAATTAAGTTGGTGATATTTTAATTTAATATTTAGCTCGCAATTTACTTTCACCTTGCTGCCTTTCAAATGCTTAAAGACCAGAATTATTATATAATTAAATATCGCTATTAATAACAAATTGTCAAATGTCTTTTTTGGTAGTGTTTATATAGCTGTTGGCGGAGAATCTTACTACACAGTCCTTGCATCAGAATACAGGGGATGTGCTGGTTTACGGGATTCATCAAACCAACAATTGGAACCACCCTATGATATTAACTGGTGTGAATTTACCTTGGTAATGTTTGCAGTGTTGTTTCAGAAAATAGCCATATCTTTCCTTTAAGGTTTTTTTTAATTTTATCCTCCCTCCATGGGATTTCATTAAGTTTTGAAGTAGTAAGGCCTCCACAGGAGAGTAAGTGGAAGAAAAGACCATTTCAAGTGAATTTCTCCATGTATGATTTCTAATTAAAGTTACTGTGTCCTTGTACTGTTTTCTGGGTCCTGCCTTCTAATGAGAGCTGTACTCCCCCATCCCTCCAGAAACTGTTTTAGTTTTATTAATAAGCAGTGCTCGACCTTAACTTTTTAACTTACTAGTCCTTAAGCTAGTGAGGTTTGAAATTTACTAGCCAATAGTCATCACCTGGTAGCCAAGCCTGGGTTGAACTTGGCAGAGGAGCTTCCATAGGCCTTTCCTTTGTACAAATTGCCTCTTGAGCTTGGATATGTCCTGTGGACCTCGCATGACTCTTCAAGAATTCGATTTTAAAATTGGAGCATCCACTGACGAAACTAGAAGAATCATTTGACTTTTTTGGACATTCCTGGCAAGTGTGACAGAACATTTTCCCATCTGCGTAATAGACCTAGGGGAATGTTGCTGTCTACTCGGGATGAAAGCTACTTTAGTGAGGTACGAGCTTGAGTTGCTTGTCCATTCGCACTTGAAGGATCTTTCAGTTGTGAGTTGCTTGCTTCATCTTCCTTGACTTGCTTGTCATCACGCTGTTTCTTCTTAGGAGTATCGCATTTCATGAAAAAAGAGTCTATCCTCTTCATCATTGCTGATCAAGGCCCCTGATCAAAATCAAAGATGGCGGTCATCACATGGCAGCATGTCCGTGAATTACCGGGTCCCATTAGTGTTCAGTCCTCCTGCCAGTCCTACTCACCACAAATGGAGTTATCGATCGCAAAACACAAGATAACTGATAAGTTTCTTAATTTATTTTTCTCCATCGCGATCAACTAAAACTGATTTTTTTTCCCTTTATTTGTCTTTCTCAAACCTGTTCTACATGTACCTTGACTAGCCCAGTGGCTAGTCGTTATGAAATTTTAGTAGCCCAAATCCATTTTCCACTAGCCATGGGCTAGTGGACCACCGCTAAGGTTGGGCACTGATAAGCTTCTTTGTTCCTTTCCAAATCTTAAGGCTTTTTCACATTCTCGAAAGAATTTCCAATGTTTCTCCATGGAGTGTACGGATATTTTCTTTTACTGCACACTTCATGTCATTTCAATGATTAATGTCATTTCAACTCTTGACTAATAACCAATGAAAGGGATACAGACATAAATTAATAGTAGTTTATAATTATTGTTTATAACCTTGTGAAAACTAATTCCTCTTGTATTTTCACAGGAATGTTCACAGATTCTTATTTTCTTTATTTTTGTTGATAGATGGATAAGAGTAAAAAACCCATTGTTGTCAGCAATGCAACTAAACAAGGGCTCACTGGAGAGGGATTTGATGAATCAACATACATCGCACCAGTNTTATGAAATTTTAGTAGCCCAAACCCATTTTCTACTAGCTGTGGGCTAGTGGACCACCGCTAAGGTTGAGCACTGATAAGCTTCTTTGTTCCTTTCCAAATCTTTAAGCTTTTTCACATTCTCGAAAGAATTTCCAATGTTTCTCCATGGAGTGTATTGATATTTTCTTTAATTGCACACTTCATGTCATTTCAATGATTAATTTCATTTCAACTCTTGACTAATAACCAATGAAAGGGATGCAGACATAAATTAATAGTAGTTTATAATTATTGTTTATAAACTTGTGAAAACTAATTCCTCTTATATTTTCACAGGAATGTTCACAGATTTTTATTTTCTTTATTTTTGTTGATAGATGGATAAGAGTAAAAAACCCATTGTTGTCAGCAATGCAACTAAACAAGGGCTCACTGGAGAGGGATTTGATGAATCAACATACATCGCACCAGTGTATGATTCTTCTGTCAGGGACTTTGGAAATGACTTCCTCCTTATACTGATCCTGCCACTTATCGTCGTTATTATCATTGCAATCATTCTGGCCATCATCATGTTTTGTTTTCGTGAAGGAAGGTAGGTCTTGCTTGCAAACATGTCAGCCAAAATACCATCATTCACATCTCAGTGTGAATATATCTTGTAAGGGAAAAATTTCACCAAACTTTCAAAGGTTAATGGGAATGCCCTTGGTGAACTCTTGTGTCCAAATTAAACTATCAAATATTTTCCCTTGAGTTGTTGTGAGTTTGTATAATTATTAAGATATAAAGTGTCATTTCTTGTGTTCCTTTCCCTCAGGAACTTTACAGCTAACTCTGTCATATCATTCAAGTGCTGACAGAAATAAATGAACAGCTCATTTATTGGTTATTTTGGAAGTTATTTTGCAGTTGCCATAAATTATATCCCCAAAACATAATCAAACGACTTGTATGGTTGGCCATTCGTTTCAAAATTACGACAGAGTATACGCGGGTTTTTCTGCCACGTATGCTTGTTTACATATGTTACGTATGGGCTTTAAGCTCATATATACAACCATTTAGATCGTATATATACGCATTTTTAAAGGGCAACATATTTGCGTAAATTCAAGGGCGGGGATATGCGAAATAAATGCCCAAATATACACGTCCTACAAGGACCCATATATACGCGTGCTAAAATGC